AACAATCGTACATTGAAGTGAAGTCTAAATCATTTTCCTCGTGGGATCGACCCCAACCTAATAGCTACGTTATGTACTTTATTCGACCGCTTTTACTTCTTTTGAGGAAGTGTAATTTTAGCGTATTATTCACGCACCTTGACTAATTCAATGAGATACAAGTCATTTCCCACCAATAACATGTACCGGGTATCTGTGTCACCATGACAAGGACAAATGGAAAAAATTACCTAGTATTTTGTATCTATTAAAAATTTAACCTAATACTTCATGGTTCTTAACCTTTTCATTGAATACTAGGACACACCATATAAGAGCATGTCACCAAGGGTAATGGAAAATTTAAAGAACTTCGATGCATACAAATGCTCATTCTTTTTTATTTTGATACTACATCTTTTCTTTTTCTAAAACAACTGATTTATTTGTGCTTTAATATACTTTACTAGAGACAAAGGTCTTTGGGAAACTACCCCTATACCTTCACAAGGTAGGACGTGAGGTCCCAAACCATACTTTTGCAATTACATATGGTATGTTGTACAGTGCAATTACAAATGATATGTTGTACATATTAACATGTAAAATCACAGTCTCAATAAGTTACACAATTCTACCAATAAGTAGTCATATTTTTGGAATAGACAAATAAATAAAGATTGTTGAAATTAATAACATACACTAATACCAACAAGGAACAAATAGAAATGAAGAAAATCAATAAAGCCAAAAAACACTTCATCATTTCTTAGTTATGCGACATTTTTTTTATGAATATAGTGTTTGGGCTGTCATTTAATAACGATAACTAGTTCCATGAGATACCTGTCATCTCCCACAAGCAACATGTACTAAGTAACTCTATCACAAAATGATTCTCAGCCTATTCATCAACCATTACGCCTCATCCTACAAGAGATATTTCCTAAGGATAAATGCAAAGTTAAAGAAATTCCGAATGTAAAAATCCTCATTCTTTTTGTTTTTATACTACTCTTTTCTTTTTCTGAAATGGATTATTTGTTGATGTTTTAATATGATTTAGTAGAGCCGAGGGTCTTTGGTAAACAATCCATCTATATTCATAAGGTAGGAGGTAAGTTCACATACCTAACTTTTGAAATTACACATGGTATGTTGTACATATTAACAAATAAAATCGTGGATTTAATTATTTACAAAGTTCTACCAACAAGAATACATCTTTATAGAATAAAGTAATAAACAAAAGACTGTAGAGATTAATAATATACACAACTAACTCATAGGAAAGAAACAAATTCCAGAGATATATTATTTTGTGAGTAAAACACAATGGAGAAGAAGAGAGGACTGATGGAAAAGAATTTTTTATTGACTGAAAAAAAAACTGCAATGCAGTCATTCTAATAAGCAAAAACATAGTAAACATTAAGCTAAAATATAGTAACTATCCAACAAGATTTTCTCCTAAAAATTAGGTAACAACCCACGTTTAAACTACTTCCTAAAGACTAGGACAAATGAAACAGATAAGAATTTATTTTCTAACAGAACTCTAATTTACTAAACTGAATTATTAAAACTAACACCCTCCCTTAAACTGAAAGCTCTCAAGCTTCAGTTTAACTTCAGCTTCTTGAACTCTTCCATTCTGTTGATGCCCATCAACCTCCTCAGCTTTTTGAAAGGGAGACACCTGAGAGGTTTAGTAAAAATGTCAGCCAACTGATCTTCACTTTGGCAGTACTGCAGCTCTATGTTCCTTCGTTATTGAGATCTCGCAGGAAATAATTCTTCACATCGATGTGCTTGCTTCTTCCATGTAGAACAGGATTTATCGATAGCTTTATGGCAGAGTTGTTGTCGCAGAAAATTATAGTTGCTCCTTTTTTTTTGAATTGTAGTTCTTCAAGACTTTTCCTCAACCAAATAGCTTGACAAGCACAGGCTGTAGCAGCAACAAATTCTGCTTCAGCGGTCGATAAAGTGACAATTTTTTGCTTCCTGGAAGACCATGAAAATGCCCCTGTGCCTAGCACAAAGGCATAACCTGAAGTGCTCTTTCTGTCGTCTTGATCACCTGCATAATCGCTGTCAACAAAACCAATCAAATCAGATTTTTCACCCTTCTTGTTGAACAAACCGGAATCCATAGTTCCTTGTAAGTAGCGAAGGATTCTCTTGGCATCTAGCAGGTGAATTTCCATCGGGCTCTCCATATACCTGCTTATAAGACTTACACCATACATGATTTCGGGCCTTGTGGATGTAAGATACATCAAATTACCTATGATTTGCCTGTAGAGTGTGTTGTCTACCTTAGCACCTCTTCCAGCTTTGTTTAGCTTCAGGCCAAAGTCAACTGGAGTATCGGCGGAATTGCAATTCTTCAACTTGAATCGATTTAAAATTTCCCGCACATATTTATTTTGGGAAACAAATATACCATCATCAGATTGCACTACTTCAAAACCAAGAAAGTAATGCATCTTACAAAGATCAAATATCTTGAATTCATCCATCATAGATTTCTTAAAATCATATAACATGGCACTATCACTCCCGGTAAATATAACATCATCAACAAATAAACACACAATCAGCATTTCCCCAAATTCTCCAATTTTAACAAAAAGAGAGTGCTCATATGGACATTTCAGGACACCAACTTTTGGGAAAGTAAGACTCAATGCGACTATACCAAGCTCGTGGAGCTTGTTTTAGTCCATAGAGAGCCTTTTTAAACTTGTATACCTTATGCTCATCTCCAATTTTAATATAACCATAAGGTTGTATAATAAATACCTCTTCCTCCAATTATCCACGTAGGAAAGCTGATTTGACATCAAATTGAAAAATAGGCCACGAATTTTGTGCCGCCAAGGCAATTACCATTCTAATGGTGTCATGCCTTGCGACTGGAGCAAACACTTCAGTGTAATCCACACCATGCTCCTACGTGTATCCCTTAGCCACCAAACGCACCTTATACTTGTCAATTTCACCATCTTCTTTCAATTTTCTCTTATAGACCCACTTGACACCAATGGTTTTCTGCCCCTTCGAAAGATCTGATAACTCTCAAGTTCCATTTCTTTCAATAGCATAAATTTCATCATCCATAGCTTTCCTCCATTTCTTCTCTCTGACATCATTCTCAAAAGTTGTAGGATCGCAATCTGCAAATAATGCAAAATGGGAAACATCTAATTAACATCAATTTCTGTTACCTTATAATCCGTCATCCACGCGGTCCTTCTGCGAGCACGACGAAGAGGTTGTTCAGCTGCATCAGTTTCTTCTAAAGTTGCTGGTACAGTTTCAGCAGTTGGTGAAATTTCAGCAACAGCTGGTAGAATTCCAGCAGTTGTAGAAGCTGAATTCTCTGCACTTTCAGGCATCGCAGCTACTTCTTCGGCTCCAGTATCAAACACAATTGGAGTAGACTTCTCCATATTCCATTCCCAAGTGTTTTCTTCATCAAAAATGACATCTCTGCTGGTAACATTTTTCTTTGTCAAAGGATTGAACATCTTGTACGCCTTGGATGTGTCGCTAAAACCAATAAAAACACATCTCTCACCTCTATCATCAAGCTTCTTTCTTTTTGCTTCTGGGACATGTGCATAAGCAATGGACCCAAAAATTTTAAAGTTGTCTACTGCCGGTTTCCTTCTGCTCCAAGCTTTTGCAGGTGTAACATCTCGAAGAGCAAAAGTGGGACATCTATTCAAGATGTGAACGCTCCAATTCACTGCTTCCGGCAAAAAATTCCTTTGGAACTCTTCCCCGAGCCAGCAAGCTTCGAACCATATTGAGAATGGTTCTATTCTTCCTCTCTGCCACACCGTTTTGTTGCGGTGTATATGCTGTTGTGAGCACTTTCCGAATGCCACTAGTCTCACAAAAATCAACAAATACCTTAGAGCAATATTCTCCTCCGCAATCTGTGCAAAGGTTCTTAACAGTCCTTCTAGACTCATTCTCCACGCGAGCTTTGAAGATTTCAAATACATTAAAGGCCTCTGACTTTTCTTGAAGAATATACACCCAAGTCTTCCTGGAATAATCATTAATAAAAGTAATAAAAAATTTTTACCTACATTCGAGATCGGTGTTATTGGCCCGCATATATCTGAGTGTACCAACCCCAATACCACTTTGGCCCTCCATGACTTACTTTTCGGCAACTGAGAACGATGTTGTTTGCCAACAACACATTCTTCACATACTTGGGAGGGAACAACAATTTCAGGAAGCCCCGTCACCATACTCTTCCTTTAAAGGTTCTTCAAGCCACCAAAGTTCAAGTGACTATATCAAAAATGCAACAACCATGATGGATTTTTCACTTCTGCCATAGAGCAAGAATGAACATTTTCAATCTTCAAAGGAAACAACCTATTTTGACTCATTTTCACAATAACAATAATTCCTTTGGAAGAATCAGAAATTTCACATGCATCATTCCTTAAGATGATGACATATCCTTTTTCTAACAGTTGACCGACAAACTCAGCAAATTGCTTTTCAAAGCTGAAACATAGAACATATTAGATATGATCTCCACACAACCATTTTTGGTTCTAAAATTTATATTACCCTTTTCCCATCACATTCACAGTAGATAGATCACAAAAACTAACTATCCATCGAAAGCTTTCATTTAAATAAGTAAAAGAAGACTTACTTCCAGTCATGTGGTTACTACAACCTGTATCCACATACCAAAGAGCTTGTTGGTCAGGCTCTTTTTCAACATGAACTGCCACTAACAAAGTTTCTCCTTCTTTGTTCTCAACGAAATTTGACTTCTCTTGTTTCTCATCAGGCAGCCTAGTATAACATTCAGAACGATAATGACCAAATTTATGACAACAATAACATTCTACCTTTGATTTATTGAAATCCCTTCCTCTGTCTTTACCATAGTCATTACCTCTAAAATTTCCACATCCTTCTTTGTTGCCTCCGTCTCTATTTCCACGATCTGCTCTTCCTCTCCCTCTTCCTCTTCCTCAACCTCTACCCCTTACTCTAGAATTGGAAGAAATAAAAGTAGAAGCCTTCAAGGCCTGCTCCTCAGAAGTTGAATTTCGATTCATCTTCTGTTCATGTACCAATAAGGAGCTTTTCAATTCATCAAGCGATAACTCCTCTATATCTTTTGACTCCTCAATTGAGCAAACAACATAATCATACATCGGTGTGAAAGAGCGCAATATTTTTTCAACAATTGTGACATCGTTAATCTTCTCTCCATGGAATCGCATTTTGTTGCTAGTCTCCATCGTTCTAGCACAGTAACTAATTACAGACTCTCCTTCCTTCATCATCAAAGTCTCAAAATCCCTTCTCAAGGCTTGAAGCTGTGCGCGCTTCACTCTAGCAGTACCTTGATATTTCTTTCTCATGGAGTCCCATATATCCTTGGAAGTTTCTTTACAAAGAATAGTTTCCAAGATAGGACGCTCAATAGCCTGAAAGCGGTAATTTTTTGCCTTCAAATCTTTCAACTTTCTTGCTTCGAACTCCATCTTTTGAGCATTCATCAAAGCCTCAACATCCGTTTGAGCGCCGATGTCATCCTCGATAATTTGCCAATACTCTTTTTGACCGTAAAAAATTTTCCATCAGCATACTCCAATTGTCATAATGACCATCAAAACGAGGAATGGTTGCTTGCAAGAAGTTGCTCTCTGAAGCCATAAACTCACAATATCTCTCTTTGTTTTCTTTTTGTAACTAACCTGCAGCTTTGATGCCACTGGTAGGAAAGAAACAAATTCTAGAGATATATTGTTTTGTGAGTAAAACACAATGGAGAAGAAGAGAGGACTGATGGAAAAGAAATTTTTATTGACTGAAAAAAAACTGCAATGCAGTCATTTTAATAAGCAAAAACATAGTAAACGTTATGCTAAAATATAGTAACTATCCAACAAGATTTTCTCCTAAAAACTAGGTAACAACCCACATTTAAACTACTTCCTAAATACTAGGACAAACAAAACAGATAAGAATTTATTTTCTAACAGAACTCTAATTTACTAAACTGAAATATTAAAACTAACACTAACAATATCTAATAAGCTGAAATGAAGAAAAAATAATCAAGCTGAAAAAGAACTTCATCAGTTCTAGATATGGTGTCTAGGACATCTTTCACGCACTTCGACTAATTCCACCGGATACCTTTCACCTCTCACCAGCAACAAGTACGACGTGAATAATAACTTGGTATATCATGGTTCTCAACCACTTAATTAACAACCATGCCATACCCTTAACTGCTTTATGGCACTTCTCTATGAGTCACATATTTTATCTGACTATAATTTTAGAATATAAAAAATTTATTGAAATTTTCCTCTTGTTAGTTGTTTGGATGTATTAATTTAAGATTAAGCAATCACACAAACACTAACAATTGAACAATCCCACCGAAGTAATAAGAAACATATAGGAATAAATTAAGATATTCATAATGATTAAAAAAGATCCAAACTAACATAAGTTTTAAAAGGGAATTCTGATCAACTTTGACCATCGGAAGTGGTTAAATCCTTTTTTAGTGTTCTTATCTTCAGCTTTAGGAACCTCCACTTGGCGCTTGCCGTATTCGATTACATTGTCTAAGATCTTTCCAATAAAGTTGGGTAGAGGGATTATGGTGCTAACGTAGTCACCCTCTATCATATGTTTAATCGTCTAAAATTCTAGTGCCACCGCCTCATCTACCTCAAAGGTCTCTCCGTTGAAGCTCCTCAAAAAGATCATTTACGAAGGAGAATTATGAACCAATCAGCAAACCCTAATTGTACGCTAGAGAGAAGAAAAAGAGATAAGAGTGAGAAAACCTTGTATGATTTTCTACTTACATTAATTTTATTTATTTATATTATTTTTAAATATATTCCCTTATATAGAAATGGTATCTTCTTGGAAGAACACAACATTAAAAAAATTGGACCAAAAGCTATTTAGATTGTACTGTGATGCATTTAATATTTTCTTATTTGTGGCCCTAGTTGATTGGCACTTAAAATTGAATCATGTTATGGGAGACGTCTTGAGTCTGAAATATCACACTTACTACAAAATATAGGCCTTTTCGTTCTCTTTCTGCTTCCCACATGTTCAAATATTTCTTCATCTACTCAAAGATCTTTCAACTTTCATTTTCTAAAAGTGTTGCTGCAGTTTAGGGTATTTCTTCTCACTTTGTTCTTCTTCTCTCTTCAATTTTCTTTGTGCTCAAATTATAAAATGTGAATGACAATTCTTATTATGTATTTTTACTTTCGGTTTTTGTTTCTTAGAATGTGTACACTTGGCTATTTAAACATGTAACACCTAAAATATTTTGAGCTAAAAACTGAACCATCCTTCGTTTCGAGTAAGATTTTGTGAGGAATTTAAATTTTCTTTGGTGTCAAGGTCTCTAGATGTAGCATCTCGAGTTTAAAAAAACTAAAGAGAAAATCATTATAGTCATCCATAAGGTCTTTTATGTTTTGGTTGAACTTCAAATGACCTTAAATTTTAGTAGTAGTTTGGTTTAAATTCAATTAATGATGGGATGATTATGATGGACTAGTTATGATGCGATAAGTTATGCTAAAATAATGTTTTATTGAGTGTTTGGTTTGTTGTATTTAAAATAATAAATCTTAATAACAACATATATATTCACAAAAATGTAATTCATGAATATGAAAAGTAATGTATTAAAAGTGTTTAAAGGGATATTTTTGTCATTTAGTTATTTTATCTCGGTATAAGCTTCTCCGGGATTACTCTACCACTCATGGTAAGGGATAACTTATCCCGGTACTAATTATAAATTCTGGAATAAGTTATCCCATAATTTTCAACCAAACAACAAATTAAGTGGCAGTATAATTTAATCTTAGGACTACTTGAAGTTATTATTCATACCAAACGATCCCTTAACACATAATGATTTAGGTGACGTATGATATATGAAATCGAAGATGTTTGAGTCTTGACGCCACCGAGTTCATATGAGGGAGATATGACTGTTTGAGAGTATCCTCTCTTGATAGGGCCTTTTCATTCAAGCTAAGGAGGGGTATTTTAGTATTTTACTTACCCTACTTAGCCTAAGGTTATTTACACCCAATTGAGGGTGTAAACTAATTAGAATCAGCTTTATTCATCCCAAAAATGTTTAGGGCTTTAGATAAGAGGAGAAAGAGGAGAAAGAGTTCATGGTTCTAAGCGTTCATCTAAGATTTTTCTAAGAACCTAGTTTTTAAAGATATGTCAATTCTCATAGTTTTGGATTTGTTTACCCACTCGTCAATAATGCTATTTTTATCCTTAATTTTGTTCTCGAGGTTGAATGATTTGAGTTTTTGAGGTTGTAGATTTATACCTTGTTAATGGAGCGTTATTGAATTTTGAGGTGAGGGTTTCGCAAATCAATGATTGTTTTTGTAAGGTTTTTGAGTCAACTACGACTGTGAAGTGTATAAGGAAAGAAGGTTTGTATGTCTTAAACACATGTGATATATCTATAATATTTCTCTTTCTTTATCTTTTATTATTGTACTAGGTTTTAACTATTTTATTTAGCTTATATATGACTATTCGGTAATATTAGTATTTTTGACAAATACAAAACGTTGTCAAGAACAGTTTATCTTAAGTCAAAGTGTTCTTTCAGAATGGTAAAGGTTCAAGCACTCTTCATTAATATGCATATTTATTGATGATAAAACTATTTTGCTATAGTGTATTTTGGACATTTGTTGGTTCAAGAATACAGATCTATTATTATGCCCAAAAAGAAGAAATAAAAAAAATATGACAAATTTGATAACTTGCTAATAAAGAAGTGGACTAATAGTCTATGTACTAATATTTTATGAAGAGTGCAATGACATACAAAATCATATTATATATATATATATATATATAAATAAGATAACCTTAGTCCCGCCTAAGTGTCACCACCACAAACCAGAATTCTCTTTTAAATTTATTTATTTTCAGAACTAGTTTTCCCCTTTCATGAAGAGTTGTTGCTTTAATTAAGACTTTTAAATTTTATGAAAAGTTTTGAATTGTCTAAAGAGTTATGACTTTTATGAAGAGTTTTGAATTTTATGAAATATTGCGAATTTTATGAAAACTTGGGACTTTAATGAAGTGTTGCAACCTTTATGAAAACATGTGACTTTTATGAAATGTTGTAACCTTTATGAAGTTAGAATTTCTTATTAATTTAGTTATTTACAAAACTAGTCTTCCCTATTCATGAAAAGTTGAAACTTTTATGAGAAGTTGGCACTTTTATGAAAAGTTGTGAATATTATGAAAAGTTGCAACTTATATATCAAAAGATAAAACATTTACAAAAAATTGTTACTTTTTTGAAGAATTGTAACTATTATGAAAAAAAATTATTTTATGAAAGGTTGTAACCTTTCCAAAGGGTTTCAACTTTTCCAAAGAGTATTGACATTTCCAATAATGCACAATAAACATTTATTCAAACAACCCTCTATTGTCTATAAATAGAGGGATTTGCTGACATTACTATTTGTACCGTTGGGTATTCTAATTCAATTAAATTATTAAGCTTATAATGTAGTTTGTTTTATTCCTCAAATTTTTCATCCTTCTATTTCATGGAGCTTAATCGTTACTATAAATCGTAGTGATTCATGTAATTATGACAATTCTTTTTGTTATTTTGGTGACTTTTTTTTAACTTCGTTAAAATTTTCACGGAAGATGATTGAAAATTGATATTCTTTATTGTCCATTTCTATAGGTTTTTTCGTATAAACAAAGAAATTAATTTTGATTGCAAAGCCACGTTAATTCTCTTCCATATTTAATTCCACAACTCTGAACTTTGTTGAAATAACCGAATTCATTACATTTGGTTCTTTAGTGAACAAAACTTTTTTTTGTGCCACTATTATTTGTAGTTTTTTTGCTATAGGGGAATTTAATTAAAATACATTAATTAAACTTCTTATTAATCTGTTTCATTTTTCATATTTCATGAAACTTAATCATATATTGTAAGTCATACTGATTCATGTATCTATTGCAATTTCTATTTGCTATTCTGATGAAACTTTTTTAACTTTATTAAAATTATTAATGAGGATGATCAATAATTTATCTTCTCCATTGTCGCTTTCCACATATTTTTTGGGAAAATTTCTTGTGTGATGTGCTATATTTGATAGAACATAACAACAAATATGGGATAACTAATACGGAACAAATGATGAAGTTTGTGAAAAGAACCAAACAAATTGCTTTTTATGTACAAATAATTCATGTCATTACATTCTTCCTAGAATATTAGTATAGACACAATTAGTCCACTTCTTTTGTCCCAAGTTAAGTAATTTCTCTTATATCCTCTCCTCTTGTTTTTTTGCACAATAAGAGATCAAGTTTTTATGAAACTAACAAATGTCTAAAATTTTCAAGATCCAAAAATGAATGTGATGACACTCATCTTTTCCCATCAAGACAAGTCAGCCTA